TCTGTGAAGTGGATGAGTATTATAGGCAGATAGATCAGATAGTTCCCTAGACTTTTTGTTGTAATCCAAGCTCGACTGAAACTTCTGGTCACAGATCTAGTTTCAGTGCTTTTGTCCCTCTGTGTCTTCTGTGGTCCCCCTCTCTTGTTGCCTGTATGTTGGAGGATATTTTACTGCCATCCATCTGTAATCAACAGCAATAGGAAATCTTTAGCAAATGTTAAAGCATGTCTAGTTCATATCCATTTCAGGTCATAAACTGTTGGGGTTTTTCTTGTTTTTTCTGCCTTTGTTCCCCTACCCCACCCTTTCCTGCAGAAGGAGAAGCTCAGAGAGGGGGTTAGACTCTTCATTTTTTCCAGTTAGAGCAATACTGTTTCTGCATTGTGAGCATCATGGTTATGATGAAAGAAGGCTTTAGAAGAGGCATGCTTTAGGAAGGTGTCCAAAGGACCATCTCATTCAGAAATGTGTTTCCAGTACACACCCTCAACAATGTCCCCTGTTCTCATGGGCTTTTCCCTGTCTGTACGGGTAGTGTGATAACCCCAGGTCATGAGGAGAAAAATCATCCCCATGCACAGGGAACTACACCACAATGTACCCAGCACATTTCTTGTGAAGAAGGTGAAGATTAATTTAAAGACCATCTGTAAGCTGTTTCAGTTTCTGTTGGTAAAACAATGGAGGAGGCTGAGAGGGCTGGACTGCAAACTGCTCTGTAGCAAGAATTACCATTTTCCATGGCATTATGCTGTGCTCAACTTGATAAAAGCTGTTCTGCAAAGTGAAACAGAGCTGTGCTTTTTCTTTTTTAGTTAGCAAACGTGTGTGTTGCAAATGCTCGCTTCCACCTGTGGGTGTGCATATTTTTGTGCTCTTAGAAGGAGAACTGAAGAAACAGAAGTGTTGTGATGACAGCTGAAATGAAAACAATATTTCATTAAGTTAAGCACAATGCTAATTGTATTTCAGTTGTGAATATAGACAAGTAGTCTTAATTTGCACAAAGAACTAAGTGGCCTAAATTGGAGTTTTCTATTAAAAGTACTCAAATATATTAAAAAGATAAAATTAAGTTTTTAGATTAATTGAGTTTGCTGAAGTTCATGGGGGTGTATTGGGTTTGCATGGCAAGGTTTCGGTAGGATCAAGAAGAAAGTTTGTGACTTTCTTTTGTCTTATCTTTGTCTTATCTTATAGATTTGTCTATAACTAAGTTTGAGAGGGTGGACAGGAAAGCAAAGAGAAAGAAAGCTACTTTCTGCTGCTGAAATGGCTTTTTATCTAAATATCACTGAAAGGTTGCATTTGGGGATTTCCACGCTGCACAAATACATTCATTGTCTCTTGTGGTAGTTTATTTCATTTTGTTGCGGAAGACTTTTCCCTGTTCTTGCTGAGGTCACCCACTTGCTCAGAATCCCGAGGAGGGCTTCAGAGAGTGACAAGAGGAGCCTTCAGGGCAAACTTATTTTTTTGTCCTTGGTAATCAAGATTCTGGTCAGTGGGAGAGGGGGACATTGAACCAGCTTGAGAGGGGAACCTAGACTTAAGGGGCAGACTGAGAGGGGGAAAACCAGCCTCTTTGTGGAGCTGACGGACTAGCACCTGCTGAGCACGTTCTTGGTGGGGACATCATTTCAGTCAGAGGCAAAGGTCCATAATGGATGCTGGCCCCACTTAATTACTTTTGCCTTCCCAAGGGGCATGGTAAGCGGGGTATCCTAGATCATGGGGGAGTGAAACTCTATTTTCAGCCAGTGGATCTGCAGTAGATGTAGTCTGTGTTGCCACCCTAGGCTTGGCCGGAAGGAAGAATCTGACTCAAGGTGTCAGGCTCATGGCTCTGAGTTTTCCTGTTGTTGTGATCTGTGTGAGATTCAGGACATTCATTAGAGGAGACAGAAGAGCAGAGCGCTCATGAGACTGTAAGAAAATAGCTTTGATCAGTGTCAGTCTTAGCAGGCTTTTGCTGGGAGCTGCTGTCCTTGAGCTGATGTTCTGCTCTTGGTCTGCCTCTGCAGCCATGAGTGATAGGGTTGGTCCAGAACTTCACCTCAGACCCTGAAGCAGGGTCAGTAAAGTTACTTGCATCTTCTTTGAAACAGCTGTTGGAGATGGGATGCTGGAATTGCTGGAAGATTGGTCTTGAGCCAGCATGGCAAATCTTGTTTCATTACCAAGGTTTTCTATGGTTGGAAGTAAAAAAGGAGAAAAGAAGGAAAAAAAAAAAAAAACCAACCCTATCTGGTAGGTATACTAGAAATGGTACTCTTACATGGAAGGTACCATAGTCATAACTTAGCAAGTCTGGTATTTCATCTTTTTCATTATTTTGTCCACAATGATACAGTTAATAAGATGTTAGTTGGAACTTGGCCATGTTCCAGCTCCAAAATACTGTTTCAGGCAGAATTCATTTCCACTTTTTTGATCACTCAGTGTATTGCTGAAACATTTTCAACCTGAGTACAAGAAACTTTGTAAAAAGATGTTGTCTGAAGTATCCAGTTGGCTGGAGGAGCCCTTTTGATATTTCAAGATGGACTGTTCAGGAACAGGAACCCTAATTGTAAGGTCCAGAAAGTGGACCTCACAGTCCAGAGAGTGGTAAAACTAACTGCAGCTCAGTAAGTACCCCACAACTACTTTTTGACTCCCCCTTGGAGATGATGGTAAACTTTTAGCAGGATTGCACTTCCAGACTTTTTTTTTTTTTAATGCAATAAAGAAACTGTCATACTTTGCCTTTCTCTATTACTCTCTTCATGTAGATGTATCAGTAACATTTAGCGTTCCACTGCTGTTGCATTTTCTGCTTTGGCGTGCCCCTTTACCTGATAAATGCCATAAGTCTAGAGCAATATAGCTGTAGAAAAGTACAGTCTCAAAGTAGATTTTGATTTGGACTATAACTGGAGTAGCTTCTTTCTCCTGCTTCTTGATGTGTGAATTGGGAAAATCCTGTTTCTTACAGTTGTGTAATGAATGTCAAAAAGTAGGTGTTAGGGTGAAAAAAGGTTTGATCTCAGCTGACACGTTTGTTTCAAGGGGTAGTTTGGTAGGAGACTTTTATTTTTCAAGATGGGAACAGATAAAAGCACTTTGCCAAAGCAATTGTGGAGATAAGGAGAATATTAGCTTGTAGTTGTACGAGCTAATCTTCAAGGGATTATTTTGGGGCCAAGGTGATCATCGTTTTTGCTTGAGATCTTGCAAGCAGTCAGAGTGAGACTGAATGTCTGAAAATGTTGAGCCCACAGGATGTGGGGCCATGCAGCTGAGCAGAGTGGCATTTGTTTCCCACGGCCAACTGCCAGGACTGAAGACAGCAGGCCAGAAGTGGTATCTGATGAAGATCACTTCTTCTGGTCATGTGCTTTTGTGCTAATAGAGCACCAAATAAATATTCACGTAATGGAAGGTAGGCTTGTTCAGAAGCCTTTTCTGCACAATGGAAATGACCATTACTGATACTGGCGGTCAACAACAGCTTTTCATACTTCCGTTGAAGCCACAGTTGAAAACTGGGCTTGCATCAAAACTTAATGAAGTGCAAAGCCGCACATATTGCCAGCATCCATTGTCTGCAGTATTAGTAAGGGCAAAGCCAAAGGCTATGTGTAGATGATCATGCCAGCTTCAAGATGGAGTTTGCCTGGACATGAATTACATCAGCCTTTGGGATTGATGGCTGTAGGAGTGGTATCAGTCTTTGGTACCATCTAAGGAAAATATCTGGTGTGTTAATACTACCTTTAATTTGGTAGGAATCCTACCTCCATTGATTTCTATCAAAAACATGATCATAAAGTTGTAATGGTTGAAAAGGTTGTAATTCAAGAGAGTGATCAGAGCACACGTCATTTGGGTCTGTCAGGCTATGCAGTGAACAGAGGGAAGTCATCCCTGCCTGAGCTAGCACAACTATCAGAGGGATCCAGTTTTCCCAGCTGCAGCATCAAGCCTAAGCTAGTCATCTAAATTCTTTCTATAATTAGAGAGAGAGAGAGAGGTATCTTCATGGGGTGATTCATCCCACCTACCTTGGAAAATGGTGACTCATTCTCTGGAATTGCCTGTGTCTCACCATTGCCTATATAGAGAACCTAGGCAGTGAGTTGAGATCAGATACCTGCCTCCTATGCAGTTTAGGTGAGATAAAACCCTTTCTATAAGTGATAAGAGCTCATACCTATGTTCTTAAGCAGTCTTGGGTAATTGGTAGGGCTGGCAATTAGATGAAAAAGCTCAGACTGGACTTCCCCATCTCTTTTATTGTAGCATGTTACATGTGGAAGGTCTTAAAAGGCATATCCTTTTAATGCAAATGTACTTGAATGAGACGGTGCCACTAGCAAATACAAACCTTCAGTTAACCTGTAGTAGATTTAAAAATAATTCACTTTTCCTGTATGCTTATAGCTAGCTGTTCATAGAAGCCTACCTCCCATAGTAATTTCACCCAACGGAGAAAGAGCCCTGCTTCCTGATCTTTTGAACTTCTGTGTTTTGATACAGGATCTTTTCTCCTGACAGTGGCGATTATAACTCTTTCAAACAGCAAAATTTTGAAAGTTTAACTGTAGAAGAGCAAGCGTAATAACAAATGTTGTCTCATACTCAACATACCATATACATTGCTTTTTCTTAATAACACCAAGACTTTCAGTAAACATGTTAACATATGTTCCTTACAGCCATTCCACCCACTCACCAAATGCTGACCTGAAGTCAGTCCTTTTCAGTGTAAGCTTGTTTCTTTGTGCTCCTGCTCTGACTGGCGATTGCTATGACTAGTGATGGGTGAGGTCGGGCAGAGGATCATACTCTTTTTCTATTTGCCATAAACTTCAGTGTAAGAGCTGGTAATCAGAAGTTAAATTTACAGTTAATCTGAGAATAGTACCTGCCTGTTGTTTGTGATTTATGCTGTATAAAAAGATTGCTTATTTATGCTGATTATTTTGTTAATTTTTTAGATGTGGACTTAACTGATGTTATGATATGCAAAATCCCTCCACACATGAGGAAAAGAGCCCTCTGTAAGTATGATCAGTGTAAGTAAATTAAAAATGTGTCATTAGGCGAGAAATTAATATTGCAATTTAAATGAACAGTTGAGAACTTAGAGACACTTGGAAATTATTACGCTCAATAATACTTAAATAGAAATAGTTTCAAAACAAAGAAAATACCTGACCCTATTTTAACTTCTCAAGGATCGACTCTTTTTGAGGATGTCAGCAACTACAGATATTTTAGCATAAAAACAACTGGACTCTTTAACCTAACTGTACCTATGTGAACATGTTAGTTATTCTCTAATAAGGTATTTGTAGGATCTGGGGGGAAGGGGCTATGGCATCCTGCCTAAATCTCTGGAAGCACATTCTGTAGGTTTTCTGTTTCATTAGGCAGCTAGGTTTAATGGACTTACAAACCATTAAACATCTCATTACGTAAAGAACAAATGAAGGAAAACCTATTGGTGAAAGAAGGGAAAAAGAATTAGTAGAATGGAAAGACTTGGAAACTGGCAAAGAATTTTGATGAAAGTTTTATTTGACTAAATCTTAGGACATTCAGTACTATTTGAGAACGACTGGTGATTTGCTAGCCATTTAACAACTTGTACAAAACAGCTGGACACAGTCCTGAGTAACTTGCTCTAGGTGACCCTGCTTTTGAGCAGGGGGGTTGGGTTAGATGAACTCCAGAGATGCCTTCCAACCTCAACTATTCTGTGATTCCGTATGAACTGGAAAACTGCCTGCTTTAATTTTTGGCTGTCGTAAATTATATCTGTAAGCAGAGTGTTGTTTTGTATGCTGTCACTGAGTTTCAAAGCTTTTGGTGATGGGACATTCAGAGCTCTCAATTTCTGCTTCTTCCACTCAAGAATTTACTTTTTTCGTGTTTGGAATTGGCTTATGCCATGTTGTACAAACCTGAGTGGAATCACTGAGGCAAGTTACTAGTTCTGAGTAACAATAGACTGGCCCATCTGGTAGGCACAGCCCAAATTCCTTCCTCCCTAGAATGAGCTCCCCGTTTAAAATCTCATTCCTAAGCTCATGTAGATGGCCAGGGTTGTGTTCAATTTAGTTGTCTTAGATGCTTAGCTTGCATCTGAAGTTTAGATGTCCAGTGAGCCAGTGCTAGTTAAGAAGATGCTTGAGTTCCCTGTGGAGGGAGGGAGATTCTTTTGAAATCCTCCAGAGGGAGATGCTGACTAGTTAAATTTAGAGACTTAAGTTAGGCAGGTTGAATGTTCCTTTGGCAGCCTTCAGACAGTTTTAAAATGCCTATTTAAAACACAAGTGAAGGCTAGGTGTTCTATTTAATTAGAATGCCTCTTGCCCATTGTTAGGTGCCTCAACCTAAGAGGAATTAGTCACTGTATTACTACCTTTCAGGTTTATCAGATTTTGCTCCTAATCTCACTTTCTAAATGAATAGAGTTTGTCATAATAGTATGAAATGAACACAGAAGTTCCATAACCGCAGCATGAATGTGGCTTGACAGAAGGAACACGCAAATTTATCAGCCAAACCAAAAGCACCACATTTAACAGTGTAACCAAATTTTCTATAGGCAGTGCACTTCTTTCCTAGCATAATGTTTAATTTTATAGGCATCGTGAGGGGAAGAACAACTGTCATGGATGTCTGTAGACCAATAAAGTGTAGGGTGAGATAAAAGCACAGACGCTGCTGTGTGCCACATCAGCAGGCATCCCCCTTTGCCTTTTCTTTCTATCACCATCCCAGAATTTCAGCCTTGCTCTGGCCCAGTAGGATTTATTTATAGTTTTCAATATCCCTTTCTCATAGCAGTAGAGCGTGGAACGGCATAGCGTGCTGACACTAACAACATTTCCTGCCCTTTTGTTCTGTGTTCAGCTGACCCATTGTCCCTTTGTCCTTATCCCTTGTCCTACCTCTGCAGGCAGAGGCCCCATCTGACAAATTTGCTTGCGTTCCCCAGGGATTATGAAAACCAGGAAACTTCATTAAGGATGGTTTAATAACTTAGACAAAGGAGAAGAGCAGCTGGTCTGTTAACAAGTCTCTCTCAACCCCCATTCTCTGACAGGAGAGCCTTTCTTACATGTGGTACAGTCTTCAACAATTTGCAGTAAAATGCTACAGATGTACGGTTCATGCAAATTGTGTTACTGTGCATCGGGTCTGCCTTGAGCGTTTTATTTGAATGACCGGAGGCAATTTTATGGCAGTAGGTTTGCTGCTGTTAAAGAGTAGCTGATAGTGGCCTAAAATTTTGGTGTATGTTTTTGCTCTCTTCATTGCTTAGCGTGGTAATGTTAGAGGAATAGCAACTGGAGACAATCTGCTGCACTCTGCTACTCTGTAAGACAAACATCAGTAAAGCCAAGCAGCAAGAGAAGAAGGGTTCTTCATGACAAAATGACAGCAAGAGAACACAGTCCCCGCCATGGTGCAAAATCCCGCACCGTACAACGGGCCTCCACCATTGACGTCACCTCTGACATGCTAGGCCTTTCTCTGGCAGGTATGTACCTTCATGCCAGCTATTGCTCTGTTGCTCGTTTCAGAATCTACCTTGTACTAACATTGTTTTTTTCTTTCAATTGCTAGAAGATTTAGATGTGTCTGGTTATCTGGAGGGAATGAGATAAAGGAATTACACTAAAAAATTTAAAAAATCTTAAACTTAGCATTTTTTAAAATAGACAAAACATTTAAATTGGAGAGGGAAGAAAAAAAATTAAACTAGATTTTGTGCACTTATGTTTATCAGTCAAAAATAAGCAACAGGGGGAGAAAACAACAAAAGAATGTCAAGGTCAAAGAAGAGTCTTGGTAATCTCCTTGTCTGACACTGTATAAAATTTTCAAGAAAGTTCAGGGAACCGAGAATTGCCTCCCTCATCTTTTATGGTGAGTAAATTAGGATTGTAACCCTCAGAGGCTTTCTTTGATTATTGAGAGAGTCAGGTACGTTCAAACTTCTCCCTATTCACTGATCACAGAGGAGATGTATCTGATTTAATAATTTGGAGTTAATAGTGGCTCAGACACTAAGTGGCTTTAATCCTGTTGTTTTCTACTGAGATTGGGCATTTTATATTCCCATATTCCACAGTCTTGCATCATTTTACATATTTTAACATGTTTTATAAAATGAGATCATCTCAGGTTTTTCAAATAATTTTTAGATACCAAAGATTAGCTAATAAATATTTTAAATACCAGTCATGGCTCATTGAATTAAAAATATTTTCTTTTTTCTGTAAAATTTAATTTTCTTTCTGTATATGTATATGTTCTGCAACTTCAGGAAAGGATTTATATGACAGCAATGTTTGGCTAATCTTGTATTAATTTTTCTGATTTACAGGAAACATTCAGGATCCAGATGAGCCGATTTTAGAGTTCAGTTTAGGTAGGCTTAGTGATTTTTATGCTAATTTTGATGATACATGCTATTGAGTATGTGTGCATTTTTTTAATTGTTGATTTTGAAGTGCCTTTCATATAGTAAGGATTGAAACTTTGCTTTGATTTTTAGATGTGGTACAGTTTTCTTGCTGCCAGTACAGTATCTTTTGATAAGCAGCCAGTAGTTTGATTTGTGATGTTTTTAAAAGTCTGTAATTAAAACATCTGTCCTATAAAATTTTAAATGTTTACTATGTGAATGTTGTTTTTAAATGTTTATTTTGTTTATGTGAAGATACAGGGAAACTGTCTTCAGTCTCAGTTTATCAGCAGTTCAGGTCTTCAAGCAAACTGAAGATTTGCTGAAAACACCGGTTTAGGATAGAATATTTTCTAAGTGTTACCAACTGTTACACATACCTCCTTTCTTGTGGTCTTTGCTGTCAAGTGATAATGTGAGATGCAGAAGTGACCTAATTTCTGGGATGGTTAAATTTGGACAAGAAGCTTGTGACCTCACTTGAAGAATAAGTGAAAAATATTTTCTTTATGAAAATTCAACCAACATTTTCAACTGCAGCATGGTTTTCTTGGCTTAATAGCGGACTAATGTTTGGAAGATTATACTCTTAACAGTATGTTTGAAATGAAAAATCAGGAAATTTTCTCAGATGTATGCAATTGTGTTATGAATAATAATCTTAAGAACTCCTTAGAACTGAATAAGGTATTTTAAATATTTTCAGATAAATTAAAAATATGTAGAACTGTAAAGCTGTTTAGTGTACATTTGAACATTTTGCTTGCCCAGGTAAGCTTTAGAATTAGCTTTCTGTGTCTAGCTGAAGCAGAGTCAGACCGCACTGTAGTTACTGTATCTAGCTAGATAGAATTTGGCTCTGAAGTTTAATGTAATTGTGTAGAGTCACTCGCTGAAATTTTTGGTAGTTGTTTCCTACTCACCATAGTCCCTTCCCAGCAGTTAAACTCGCAATACCATTTTAGAGGAAATAAATTACTGTCCTTTTACAATTACAAGCTAGTTGTCCTCATAGTAGTGCCACTTGATCAACGTTCAAGCACTTCTATTGGTTCTCCATGGCAAAATGCCATTTGGTAATGGGCTTAATGGAGCGTGACTTCAAATCAAATGCAGCCATACTCATGAGATTCCCAGAGGAAAACCTATGCATGTACACTGTTCTAATGATCTGTGCCAGGGGGATGGATAGGCAGGTGTTAGAAGAGAACAAGTTTAAATTACAGCTCTACAGCTTGGAGCCATCGCACGTTTACTCTTTGCATGCACAAAGGTGAGTGATGTCTGCCTTTATAGTGTGGTGATAGAATGGATATTAGGCCCTTCATGGCTTTATTGTTCAGGGTATATAATATGCTTTTATAAAAATGTAGAGTCTTACAGCAATATGAAAAAGATCCTGAATCTAAATTTTTTTATCTATTGCATACCTAAAGCTTGCAGTGAACTGCTAACTCCATCGCTAGATCGAAAACCAAATAGTTTTGTAGCAGTGAGTGTAACTACACCTCCTCAGGCATTCTGGACAAAGCATGCACAGACAGAAATTATTGAGGTAAGTGGTGAGGTACTTGTGGACTAGATTTAAAATTGAAGCTAACACAAGAAGCATTTCTTCCTGACAAATATCACCTTGCATTAATTTTTGCCTTTTTTGCTTATGATTACAGGGAACAAGTAATCCTATCTTTCTAAGCAGCATTGCCTTTTTCCAAGACTCTCTTATCAATCAAATGACACAAATCAAACTCTCCGTGTACGACGTCAAAGATAGATCTCAGGGAACAGTAAGTTTTCTTTATTCTGTTGCCTCCCCAGTCACCACAGACCAAGGAAATGAGAGGCAAGCAGATAAAACTAGTAACTTTTGTGGAAGAAAGCAAAGGGGTAGCAGCATCTATCCTAGAGAAAGCAACATGGGTAGGGGAAGGAGGGACAAATGCTGTGAGATGGACTTGGCAGAGTGCGGAGCATTGCCAGTTTTCTCAGATAAGGCTTGTTGGCAGCAACTTTGGGAACCACTCATTTAAATTCAGAGGTTTTGTCACTTGTTCTCTTCTGTTGCAGACCTCTTTACTGAACTAGATAACAAATGGGATCCAGTACGCCTAACTGAGGTCTCTAACCTGTGCCAAAATGTTGGGGCCATAATGAAACAGTACTTATAAACGGAGCTGCTAAATTCCATGCGTAGTAGCAACAGTCTGGTGGAAGTTTTCCACAGGGAGCAGTCACGTTTGTCTGAGTTTAGGAACTTTAGAAGTCTGTTTCAGGACCTTAGAAGTCTACTTCTCTCACTGCTTAAAATTTAGGTGCAAACTGGTGACAAAGTCAGGCAGATTAGATTTTACCAGAGGCGGCTACTGGCCTCTAATCCATGTTGCGTGAAATGGAAGGAAGAGAAAAAAAAAGTCCCCTGGTGTCTTGGGGGCTTCTGTAGTATTTTTGCAGAGGATCACAAATTGTAGGATAGAACTTGCCATTAAATGTTTTTAATCCAAAATAATGGAAAAATTGTAATTTCAGTGTCCCAAACTTAATTTAGTAAAGAATGGGCCACCTTTTTCTCAGCAGGGGCCGTGAGTTCAAGGTGAAAAACATCAGAGGAAACTTAACTATTTTGGAGCACTTATTCATTACAAAAAACAGTTATTTGTTGTCTCAAAGACCCTTAGTACTACCCATATCTAGAATTCCACAATACCAAAAATTTGTGAGTGTTTTTACAGAACAGGAGATTTTTTCTGAATAGAAGGTTGCTTTCAGGAGAGCATCCATGCCCTTGGCTTCCTGGCACACAGATTCTCTGGGCTATTTTGCCCAGATAATTTTTTTGCGTTGTTCTCGGAAATCCCCCTGCCCTGATCCCTTAGTGATTTTGTTCAGGTGTAAGATTTATTCCTTTACTGAAAAAAGTCTAAGTGCCAGCTCTCCCAGGTAACTACTTGGATCTGTTGGCAGCTCACTCTGGACTGTTGCCCGGATTGCCATTTCAGGTCCCACATACCTGCTTTCCCGTGGCTTCCTCAGGGGTAGCAGGGCATCTCGGTAGAGTGCATCATGGGGAGGCTCTGGGGAAAAAGGAATACCTCCTGAGGAGGTGCATTCTTCAGGAGGAGCCAAGTTTGGATCAGGGAGAGACTGTGAAGTGTCAGCCTAGTCAGTGTGAGTCCCATTTAGTCATTGCTTTCAGTGTTCCTGTATTGCTGGGCCTAAGCTCGTATACATTGAGGTGCCTCCCCTCAAATCCTAGAGAAAGAAAAGGGCTTATTGTCCTCCAGCAGAAAAAGAATTTTTGATAAATTACCAAATGTATTAAATTTTAAAGGGGTTTAATTAGTTATGCATTGGCATATTTAGTTATATTTTTGTTCTTGGACCTTTTGTGCATAGTAATTTTATTTTGGGCTTTGGTGCTGTGGACAAAGCCTTTGTTCATTGTAAAGGTAAATAATTACAATTCCAGTGCTCATCTTCTTCCAGATGTATTTGTTGGGTTCTGGGATGTTCACTGTAAAAGAACTTCTTCAGGAGAAGAATCACAGGTTGCACTTAACACTAAGGTTTGTAATGTTCTCCTCCATTTAGGAATTAACAGCCTTAATTCTTGAACGCGTGCTTAAGATATGACGAAAGCTGTCTGTGAGATGTGATGAAAACCTTTTGTTTGTTTGTTTGTTTGTTAAGTTCCAGGCCACTATTAAGGAAAAACTATATTATATTGCATGATAATTAAAACATGTAGAACAAGACCATGGTAAATAATGTTAGACATTGGTTCTCGTTCTACAAGTCAAGAAAGTATTGTCAAGACCAATTTCATTTTTGTGCATTTCATTCTATCACCTCAGCGTAAGTGTCTGTGGAGAATGGCAAAACAGAGTATTTTTGCCTGTGCTGATGTATAAAGAGCCTGTGATGGGGAGAATGAAACCCATCAAAACAGAGGCTTATCTTAGCTGTTTGGAATACCTTGGCTTAGATAAACCTAGGCTCTATTTACTATTTACTACAACGCCTGCCTGTTGCTAAATTATGCATTTGTTGCTAAATAGTCTATTTATCGATATAATGCGCTAGGAATAGGAGGAGTCACATTAGAGCAACATTGATTGGTGTTATTTTCTAGTTTAATTCATACTGAAAACTTTCATGGAAGGAATGTGATTCAGGACAGAATGAAAAAGAGGGTGTGAGTCTAATACCAATCCTTAAGGTAGTAGTTCTAATCATAGGAATCAATCCACACTTGTGAAAGCTGGTGTGGGACGAAGTTAAGTGCAGGGTTGGGGAAGAATGAAGAAAACAAAGTGAGATTAAGAAAAGAGAGCTCTGATATGCAAATGCACGTTGTGGTAGTGCGTGTTGAAAGTAGGACAGGCATCCCCGTCAGAGAAGGCAAGGGGAAGTCAGTCGAAGGGGGGAAGCATAATCAGAGAGACTGAGGATGATGGTGTTGGTAGTATCGGCATAATCAGCACTAGAAGCAGCAACTGTGATAAATTTGCAGAAATTTCTTAGCCCAGACACAACTAACAAAACATGGGCAAAGCTTTTCATGCTGAGAGAAGAGATGGGTGAAGTTTTTGGCGCTTCCACATGTATTGTAAGGAAAAAATTGACATGGTTTAACAGTGGGGAGCAGATGAGGGAAATGAGTCAGAAAAGACACCAAAAGTATGACAATGATGGTGGGTAAAATAGTCTAATTTATCATAGGTGTGAAGATGAGGGTGTTTTGAGGGACATGAAAAAGAGGAGGAATGTGTTGGCAGGAGTTTCATGGTTGTGTTAGACATGGTTATTCTGTTAGGTTTACTCTTTAATGATTAAGTTGAAAATGGACTTTATTAAACTCTCTTGTTTTGATATCAAGTGTATTCTGACTATCAGAGCAAAGTGTGTGAATACATGCATGTCTTCTCATTGTCACGTTACCCCTCGCATGTATAAGCTGGATGCTGAGCAATGCCTATAAACATGCTGCGTGACTTGGATGCTTAAACCTTTTCTTGTAGTCATCTTGTGTGCTTATTTCTTTTGCTTCCCCAGTATTGTCTGTTCCAGAGACTTTTTTTTTTTTGTCTTAGTTGTCCCAGCGTATTTTACATGTGAACAACAATCTTCAAATGCCATTTGGAATCTATCTTAAAATAATAACATAAAAGTCTCTGCCAAAATTACTGTGTGTCATGGGTGAGACAGAATAAAAGGCAGCTGTAGATCTGTGTACTGGTGTATATTTAAAAACCAACAAGATGAGAGCTTTTACCCCACTTGATTCTCTGTCTCTCGTTCACTCACTAAACTCCCCCCTCAGCCGTGTGTTCGTATCGTCTCAGCTTCCCTCCCCAGCAGGGAGATGGCTGCTGGTCTGGGAAGGTGGGACAGAAAGCTGTGTCAGCTTGTGCTGTGCAGCTCCTCAGCTGGTAGTGACCTGCCTCAGCTGACAGTGACCAGGTCCCTGGGGATCTCCGGCATTTGTTTCCACGCAACTCCCTGATCTCCAGGATCTTCCTCTACCTCAGGGACCTTTCCTCCATTGAGAATCTTCACCACCTTCTTCCTTAGACCACTTCTTTTCAGGATCCTTCTTTTTAGCATCAGTTTTTCTTTCTGGAATACCAGGCCCCCAGTTTTCCCAGTCTAAATGGTCTGTCTGCAGAAGCACAAGATGTGGTCAGCCTCCTAACTGGTGTCCTTGACTGACTTCTCTACTAAGGGGAAGATTTGGGATGTGCTACTTCTGTTTAGCCCATGTATTATCAAAACTTACCAGTTGCAATGGTACCAGTTGCAGCTAGCAAGTAGCAGGCTTCTGATTGAGGGTTAAAAAGCTCGGTTTGAGACATTCACGTGCACAGGCACGCACACACGTGTGCGCGTACGTCCAATTGTCTGCTCCCCGTTCATGTTCACAATTTAAGCTGCTTTTGCCTACAACAGGCTAATTGTAAAATCTGAACTCTTTCTAGTTTTACAGAAGTATTGAAACACTTGCATGGTTTTAGGTTGCCTTCAGTTAGGAGGTCTGTACAGCATCCCTGCAGAAAGAGGGGACTGTTTTCCTGTTGGAATGATGCATTACAAAAATATGTGAGAAGAAGTTGAAAAGCTTCCTATTTAAAATGTTCATTAAGTTTGAAGATTAATAGCCTTTTATAAGTGTTCCCTTGTTGATAAACAGGTCCACCTCCAAAAAAATCTCAACGCAGAGTGTTTGTTGCAGGTCGGCCGAAAGTGACCGTGTAGGTAACATTACAGTTATTGGATGGCAAATGGAGGAAAAAACTGACCAAAGGCCTCCAGTGACAAGGTCACCCGATACAATTAATGGAAGGGTGAGTATGAGCATTGTATCAGCTTCAGAAAGATGCAGATTGATTGGTAGTATTGAAATAAGTTGCTGTCAACTTTCCTGTCCATCTTGGTACTTAGTAGTGCTTTACAGTTTCAAAATAACTGTAAAAAGCAGCCTAATGGTGATGAAGCAGTCTTGTATTTTGCAGAGCTCTTGGTGCTAATGTTTTTTAAAAGTCTTGGGGAAAATTTTACTTTACAGTGATTAAGCTTTAGCTTCAAGTGCTCATGCCTTTCATCAAAATAGACTTGTGGTACTGTACATTGGTGCACTGATAACCAGTTTCACAAAGATGTGGTACTGGACAGCTGTGATTTGGAAGGTGGCATCAAGCAAAGCTGTAACGGGGATGCTCAGGGGAATTTTCAGAATTTTCACAGGCAACTTTTTAAAAAGAAATACCTTAAAAGTTTTTAATAAAACTGAACAGGTTACTTGAATACTGGATTATTATTCTTTTTATGTGATCCCCTAATATTTGTCTGAGAGCAGATATTAATAGTGCTTTCTCAGCCTAGACGTATGTCTAATTCTGTAAACCTTGTGTTCTGAATATCCTGTTGAGAATTGCACTCATATCTGCGTATCACAGTCACAATGTGGATTAGAATCACTTTGTATCCAGGCAGACCTGTAATTGGCACATACTGGTACAGTACCTTCAAGAGCTCTGGAGCTGTACTAACATAAAGTACTTGAAGGGCTGGATGAAAATTTTTACAGCATTTTGAACTGTGCAGTAGAAGTAAATAGGAACACTTAGATTGGAGGGTTTAAGTGGATTTATTATTTCAGCCTTCTGTATTTTTTGTCCACAGTAAACATATTTGAAATATTTATTTTAAACATGCATTGTGTTGAATATTCCTTTCAAGTCTGTCTAATAGGGTCATCACTGCGTGTTGTCCTGGCACTGAGGTTTTATTCTTTACTATTTGGGTTTTTTGTTTTTGTTTAGACTGTGTTGCCAGTTGATGAAAGTTTAACAGAATCTTTAGGAATCAGATCCAAATACGCTTCATTACGGAAAGATGCACTACTGAAATCTGGTAAGCTGCTGCGGGCTGTAACAAGTAAGCTTTAGGCATCAGTAAAAGCTAATCTCTTGCTGTCTGCCTGTGGCCCCAGGGCATTTAAGCAGATGTTGCATTTGAATAGGAACAGGCTGCTGGTTGAGCAGCCCTCTGAGGGCCATACAAGAACACGTTATTTTATCATCTGCATATTTTATTTTATATTTTATTTTATTTTGTAAAAACAGCAGAAGCAAACTTTGTCATTAAGTTGACTACAGTACAGAATTTTCCATGCAATTTGCTAGTCTATTCCAAAGCAATCATTGGGGGGTGAGAGGAGGGACAGAGGAAGGCAGTGGCTTTAAAAAAAATTTCTTGAAGAAAGATTAGTTTTCCAGCAAATTATTGCATAAAAGGAAAATGCACAGTAGGTAAAAAAAAAAAAGTTCAAAAGTTGAATATGTATTTTATTTCCTTACTAGTGTTTTAAATCATTTGGAGGCTTTTCCTGCAAACGCTGGAAGAATGGTCGTTGCAGAATGACCATGCTTGGAAAAGCTAGACTGATGCGTGGTTAAACCAGATCTTTATGTCAGTGTGTTACAGCACATTAGTGAATCAAAGCCATTTACCTTAAAAAAGGAGAGAATTTGTACACTTCTAACTCAAACCCTATGCTAAAATAACATGATTTTAATTCTTTAGTGTTTGGTGGCGCCATTTGCCGAATGTATCGCTTCCCAACCACTGATGGAAACCACTTGAGAATCTTGGAGCAGATGGCTGAGAGCGTCCTGTCGCTGCACATCCCTAGGCAATTTGTGAAGCTTCTTCTAGAAGAAGACGCAGCAAGGTGAGTTTGGACTGGTTTGGCTGTGCAGTAATACAGCAGTGATTTGGCTGTTACTGAGTTACCAAGAAATATATCTGTGTTAATGCACAGAAGCACTGAAGAAAAAATAGTAAAAGCAGCAGCTCGCTGACTGTGCAGTTACAGTGAATGAGATTTCATGTCAGGGTATAGGGTTTGGGCTTGAGTGTATGGTAATGTGAACATACAAAGGTAATGATGTGAGAGAATTGTTAGCGGAGTGAACACTTAGGATCATACTGCAGTTATCTGCACTTAGGGGTTATCTGTTCCTCTCACAAAAGTATTGATAAGGCCACAGAATATATTATTCCATAGTCATCTGACTGTATTAGGACCAGCACTTTAGAATTAATTATCTTTTTATATATATATTCATTTATATACTTCGATACACTTTGGTTTTTAAACATAGTTTGTTTTTAATATAAAGAGAAAAATTAATTTGAATTAAAAATAAAACACGTCTCAATGTTTCATAGGTGGGGGAAGTCTGGGTAGATGACACAGCATGAATGAAACAGTAATAACTCCAGCTGCTGAGAATTTTGAGAAAGGAACAGAGACAGTACAGAAACTAGCTGAGTTTCTGTATGCATAATTAGAGTAGCAGACGGAGAAGAAAAACCAGAATCACTTGAAGGTGAATTTTGAAAAAGTCGGTTGACTTCTGTGCTGTGAAAGCAAAGCAAAGGCAGAGGACAGGAGCACTGACTCCTCTCAGTGAGTTAAGAGATGCTTTGAGAGTCAGAAGAGTAGTTTTGAATGGAAAACAAACAAAATAAAAGCAAGTGAAATGAGACACTGTAGGACAGTATTGACTTTTTCTCATTTTAGGAGGTGGGAGGGAGAAGGAAATCTGTTAAGCATTTTGTAGGTTTATTCTGAATTTGCTTCTTTTTGAAACAATTAACTGTCTTCCAGGCAACATACCTATTTATGACTTTGCTTCCCTACGTTTGTAGGCTGTGGTTTGCAAACATAATGGTTTGTGTATTCTTTATAAAAGCCTAAGTGGGGATGGTAAAACAATTTTAGCTCTATTTCTGAGTATTGGGTTTTTATTTTGGCTGTGTTTGAATCCACTCCTAGAGGCCTAATTAAGTCTGACCTTAATTAAAAGTAAAACTATCCAGTGCTCTCGGTATCCTGTATTAATACATTTCAATTCCTCTGGGATATTGTGAAAGAAAATAATGTGTTAATCCATATGAGCAGGCAGAATTATTCTATGGTATTTTCAAGCATTTTCATACTTTGCAAAAATGATAAATTCTCACAAGAAGGTGGCAGTGAATTTTTGTAAGGTATGGAAAAACTAATGTATGACACGATTGTTTGAGTTTCCAAAGCTCACACAGATTTTTTTTTTTGTCTGCTGTTGAGTTTTGTTTTTTAGTGACATGCCCTTAGTAAGGGTAGTCAGATTTTAGATTCTAGAGAATGAATGCTGTATTTTGCATAGTTGTCCTGCTGCAACCTTGATGGGAGGGGGCTTGGGATATGCCATTGCACATTTAGACATGGATTATTCATAGTTTGTTTTGTATCTTTGGTTCTCTACAGCTTTCCTCACAGTACGTTTAAAAGAACCTATTCATTACGAGGTACAGCATAATATTGTAAAGAGTTGGCAGGCTTACCCATAAGGTGCCATCTGTGATGGATGTAGTTTAAAGACATGAAGATAACAAGAGGACAATTTAGGGTGAATGGGGAAAAAAGATGTGGCTTCCTGTAAGACTGCGGGCAGTGAAGTTTCTTCTCTGTGACTACTCAGAGGCTCTTGCTAAAATCATATAGAGATTGATGGATGCATATTGTATACAGTTGTGGGTTGCTAACAGCCCAGGTGGATTGCTAATACAACTTTGTATGCTCTGAATTGCATGGCTCAAAGGTAAATACAACTTTTGTGTAATTAGTGAGAAAGACTCCCTTCTCTCTGTTCAGCTGAGGTGAGCCTCAGTGACATGCGGAATTCTTTTCGTCAATGCTTTTATATTTCTAATGAATAATTCTTTTTCTTTAAGGTGGGTTACTGTCATGTTCATTTTGAATTAGTGCCCTATTTTGTTACAGTGTGGGAAATAGCACAATTGCACTTCGTACTCATAGGATCTCTCAGATTTGGCCGAGTGCTCTTTTCCCCATTCTCTGTGCTGCAGCCCAGAGGAATGCCAGACAGCTACACAAGCACAGCTGCTTCTGTCTTAACATCCTGGTGACTTTTAAAATGTCCTTGGATAATCATAACTGCTGTCTCTTACATAAAGCCCTTCTGGACCAGAGCCCTTTGAAAGGAAACATCTAACCGGGGGCATATTTTGACTACCTAATTATTTATGGCATGCACATCCCCTGCTGTCTTAGCCCTGTAGGACAAACAAGTAAACTTGAAGTGCTAAGCTGTGAATTTACTTCAGGAAGACCTGGGCTCAAATGCACGGCTTGTTTTGAGCAGGGAGCTTGACAAGGTGTGGTCATAATAGCATCTTACGCAGAAGCAGTTTACAAGATGAAACTGGAAGTGTCTTTGTCCAAGTCACTGACAACTATAGTTTACACTGTTGCCTATTGGCAAATCAGTCTGGTGTTTTTCTTTGAAGTTTGCTTCCTTTTGATAATATCCTAAATACTGTGGAGTGGAAATTGTTCTGTGAAATGCTGTCTTAAATTATATGCAGACAATTGATTAAAACTATGGATTAGGGATGTTGAGAAAACTGCAAAAAGAACTGCTGGATCCTTTTGACAGATGATTGTTCTACCTTTTCTGGGGTAACGTGCTGTTGAATTGAGTCTGGTGTTGGCTTGTTTACTTTTTCCCTTCTTCCTTTATTCTAAATAACATCTTAATCCAAGAAGATAGTAATACAAGCATGACATGAAATACACCGAATATTTTCTCAGCAGCACTGTTGGGGAACAGTATGTAACACAGGATTGCCATGTGTGACTGAAAACCTAGCAGTCAGGGTACAACGGGAAAGTCAGGGGTTTTCCTGTTCATATCTGGGGGTACTCAGTCGTCCTTTATTCCACCTACTGTGAAACTTGAGTGCCTAAAATCTGGAATCTCAGATGAAGATTTTGTTGGCTCATCTTTTGTCCCTTGAAACCCTTACTAACGCTTACACTTCTTAGACCTTCCCTGCCTGGCCTTGAAAACGGTTGCGTAGGTAGCTGGCCAGCACAGATACTCCTTGTACTTAATGTCAGATAAATGCTCATCTCCCACCTAAGCTCTGTCACAGTTCTGATTTAATTTGAGAGCCACCGAAGTTCAGTAGAGTAGCCTAAAAATGTCCTCATTGTCCCAAGTCACCTGACATGATGACAGTGCCCGTCATTTGCAAATTATCATATAGTTTGGGAGCTCCTGGAGAAAGGTGGGAAGCTTTGTTTTTGACCAACACCTGAGGCTCCTGGGGGGAACACGGTGTATTCTGCCTCTGAGGAAACTGTGTACCTTGGGGTAGAGCTCAGTAGCGGTGCTTTGGGACATATGTTTCGGAGCATTTCCAGTCTGGTAACTAGGTTAGACCAGAGTGAATTGAGAATGTGTCAGCTGAGGATGGTGCTACATTAATAAAATGTGAAAGCCGTTCTAGGTCAAGTGGACAATGGAGCTAAACACCTCTCTTTTTTCCTATTTTTTCTTTTTCCCTAGGGTTTGTGAACTAGAAGAATTGGGAGAACTGTCTCCTTGTTGGGAAAGCCTTCGTCGACAAATAGTTACTCAGTACCAAACAATTATTTTAACTTATCAGGAAAATCTAACTGACCTGCACCAGTATAAAGGTGATTTCTTTTTCATAATAATATGATATTTCTCAACCATGATTGTTAGTGCTTCTTTGAAATTGGGAACCCAGAATGTTTTAGTTTGATGAGTAAATAATACTGGTTTTAGATTTCTTTTCTTTATTAACTTGTATTGTGAGTTTGCTAATGATCTTGGAATATTTGTCTGCTTTATTCATTCTCTTATTTTACCCCAAAAGTAGAGGACAATTATGAACAGTAACAGAAAGATAGATCTTTTTTTTTTTTCTCTGCTTTACTTTCAGTATGTAGCAAATGATGAATGAAACTCCTTTAATATTTTAGCAGAAGCAGAAGCAGAAAGTTTATATGCTTACTTTTCTCCTGTTTTCTCCTGTATGTCTCAGGTCCTTCATTTAAAGCCAGTAGCTTGAAAGCTGATAAAAAATTGGAATTTGTTCCTACGAATTTACATATACAGAGAATGAGAGTGCAGGATGATGGAGGATCAGGTATTTGTTTCTTTTTCTCTTTCTTCACCTTACTCTGTTTCTTTTCTCTCCATTTTTTGATTACTATCCTCAACCATATAGACAAGTTTCTACAAACTACTGCTCTGTAGTACACGTGCTACTTGGCATTTTTGTAGCACCTTCTGTCCTTGGATTCCAAATGTCTTTGCAAAAGAAGAGATGTAAGTATAATTATCGCTATTCTACAGGTGGCGAAACTAGGTTCTGGAGTTAACTGTACCCTAGGTGACACAAGTCAGCCTTTGTACTAGGGAATACATTGGATTAAGCTGCTGTGTCCCTTGCAGTCATTTTGGATTGTAACAGAACAGCAAAGCTTCTGTCTGTTGTTTGTTGTTAAGCTTGTGCCTTTTTTCTCTGGAACCATCACATACAGTTATGCAAAATCACAGCAGTTTGTTCACAGCAAGCTTGTTTCTTCATAGATAACCTAGGTTTTCCCTTCTTTTAACAGCACTAACTGTGGACACAGACTTGTCCCATGTATCCATGTGAGGGATTCCAGTAATGGCAGGTTTTGTGTAAAGACCAATGTTCAAGGCTTCTTTTTCAATGTCAGTCTTCTAGAGTAAGAAACAGAGGACCTGCATTCAAGTATGGTTCTTTCACCTCAAAAGTACTTGATGGATTTCCAGGGCCTCTAAAACAATTCATTTTTCCATGTCCTTCAAAACACTGGCACGAAGCTTTACAAAAATTACTTTCAGAGTAGTGTTTGAATTTCCACAATTGTTTGTCCAAAGTAAAGATGACAAGCTTTCATTTGTAAGTCCTTTTTGTCCATCCCAGATCAGAACTACGACATAGTCACCATAGGAGCACCAGCAGCTCATTGTCAAGGCTTTAAATCAGGTGGCTTGCGGAAAAAACTGCATAAATTTGAAGAGGCAAAGAAACAGTAAGTAGAAATGTTGTTGTCAGCTGTTATTGTGCCTTTTCCTTCTGGTCCACGCTCAGTGATTTGGAAAATCATTCCATTCTTTGTTTTTGTTGCATTTCATTCAATAGTTCTACTATACAATGTGGAGATTGTTCCATTCTTTTTTTCCCAAAGGAGAGGGAAAAGAGTTTCCCCTTTATATTACCATATTTGTTTGTTTACTGATGGGCCCTTTCTAATAGTCTTTTTAGTGGAATCTTTAATTTTCCTGAATACTTCTTGGTTCATTTAGTTTAGCTATTTTAGGCATTGGGTTTGAGTTCTGCCTAATTGTGAATTAGAAAATTTGTCTGGAGAACCTCCTCAGCTGCACTACATCGTGCGTTCAACCCATTATTTTCAGGAGACTTTCACTGCTCTCATAGCTTAAAGGTCCTGTTGCTGAACTCTCTTCAGTACAGAACAGCTGTGACTGATAGGCAAATTCCTTATTGACAACTTGGGTTTAGTTTTGTGACTATTGCTGGAGGCTTTTCTGTACTGCCTCAAGGTTTATGCATAGATTAGGCTTCTGAATCTGGCTTCACTCTGCTCTACAGGCAGGATACTTGACCTCCACAGTCCTGTCTTCAGGGACTGTCTAGTGACCTCTCTGGAAGTGCAACCATATGTACCAGAGGAAGGGGCAGAAATTGGGAAGGTCACATATGCTAAAGGACGAGACCTGCATGGCACCCACTTTAGCTGCCAAGGAAGAGATAATGCTGTCTGGGTCTGCATGACTTTTGCTGCAGTATGGAGAATTTAAGGAACAAAGACAGCAGGAGGACAAAGAGTCATTGTAGCCAGGGCAAAGGAGACCTTGATAATGCTCTTCCAAAGAAAGAATTTGCAGGATTTGGAGCTGATGAGAGGAGAGAGTGACATGGGAACCAGGCTCTGCCAACTGCAGAATTAGTTTTGGCAGTGGAGAAGTGAATAGCAGAATCCTGTGAACATCAGTCAGATATGTGCTGATAAAAAGATTGGTGCAAAAATATGCCTGGTGTAATTATTCCTGGCTTACAGAGTGCACTAGGATGGGACTAGCGGAAACTGTAAACCTGGAAACACTGGTATGCTAGGCTCACCCTTCCTGTTCTTTTGATACCCCTATTGCTTTCTCAAATAACCTCCTTCGGTCAGCTTAGCTACTGTAGTGGGCCTCACTCCTGCAGTATCTAAGTTCCCGTGTCTTTTGGTTTTGGTTTTGTTTTGTTCTCCGCTCCCCCCCACCCCCCCAAATAATTAAGCTGATCAGAAAGCTTAATTTCTATCCAGTACTTTTCCTCTAAGCTTTATAGAACTGTTCTTTCTGGGTCCACGAAAACTGCAGGTCCAACATTTGAAGAATAACTTTCCTTTCAAGTACTTCTAATTTATCATAAAAGCCAGTATAGTAGAACTGAGATCCATCTCCTCAGTTTCACCGTTACATAGATATTGTTCAGTTCTTTCTCCTTTCATTGGCAAAACTGTGCTTGGTGCATCCACAACATTTCCCCAGAACAACACGTGGCCATCTGGCAATCTGTGGTTTTTTGCTTACAAGTTTAATTGTTATGTTACCCGCCTTGTTGAAAAGATGACTCAAATAAGTTACTTCCCCAAACATCCTTTGTTTTGTTTTGTGCTTTTGGTATTTGCTAACAATCTGCTAATTTTATTTTGATTTTTTGTTTTTTTAGCAGTTATGAGGAGTGTTGGTGAGTTTTCTGTTTCTGAGAGTTCTGTAGAGAGGGTTTCTGTTCTTTGGGTTGTTTTATTTTTCTTTTCTTTCTTTTCTTTGGCAAAGATCTGGTGTGTTTTAAAGTGTGCAGGGCTTTTTAATGTCATGCATCATGGCATCCCTAATTGTGCTCTAAGTAATTGTAGCTGCTTTGTGGAACATGATGTGTGAATGAATTTCATTTCATCTGCAATGTTTGTTTGTAATGAACAGCTAGCTTCCTGGCTCTCTCTGATCATAAGAAGTTAGAAAACTGAAGACAGAACACAAGAATTATATATATATCTTTTCCTCTATTATTTCCAGTGAAAACTGCCTGGAGAGAGAAACGTTCTGCCAGAGGTGGAAGATAATTAAGATAACTCTACGTATTTTTAAATCTTTATGGTGATAGATTGGGCATGGTTTATATTTTTGTAACCCATGTCTTCATTTAGACATTTTCACTTAGCTTTTGTCTATTTTTCTTCATGTTGTGGTGGTCAATGCTATGAAAAGGAAACATTACTTGATGGTTCAACAGCGCAGAAGTTCTGCTCTAAATTGCTTATATTAAAGGTTGAACCCCTAATAATTCACTGAGAGTTTTAGGCTGTGTTACAGTTTTCTGATATAGTACAAGGAGAGCTGTTCATTTGAAAAAGCAATTGCAGGTTGGAAAGTAAATATATGTGAACTTCGCACCATAAATTTTTCCCCCTCGGTCATCCCAGCAAATGTTTGTGATTAAAAATGTAATAATTCTAAATCAGATCTCAATACGCTGCATGGCCTTTCCTGCCAAATACGTCTTTATGCATGTTAACCACACTTGTCGTGGAAAGAAATTGCTCAGAGGAATTGTCACTAAGATCACTGCTCAATAGAGAGCACAAATCGTGTACAGGGAAAGTCCTAAAGCCTGAGATTAATTTGCGGTATGGTGTAGCAGTACTGGGGAGTGGTTGTTCTCTGCTCCACTCAGGTGGGTGACCAGAGGGACACAAATAAGGAAACTTTCAAGAATCACTTCTGCATTATATCCTTTGAAAACAAATCCCCCATCTTTTCTTGTAATGGAGCTCAGACAGATACTGGGATTAAGCTCTCCCTTGTCTTAATATCAGTTACGGGACAAGAACTGGTATTTGTGGCAATGATTTTAAAACATGCCCGACGCACCCCTCCTGTCTTACCTCACAGACATACTGCAGAAATTAACAGCATTGCTCTACAGGTAGCAGAGGAATTCACGCTCCTCGGAGGTCGTGATCTGAGGTAACTGTGCCTGGAAAAGAAACCTCTGTCTCAGCGTAGCTGTGTCCATCGAACAGTGCTGAGATTGGTGCAGACAGTAGGTTCTTCTGTGCCGTTACTATGCTGAAGCCAGTCATGACTGGAAAAAATGAATAAAATTAAGGTAATATACAGTTAGTGTCACCTCATGCTTGATGCCACATCATGAACAGGCATCCCGCTTGTCACAGCTGGAGCTGATGTAAAGGCCTGATCTTTGTATAACTTTCCTACTGGGAGGAAAAAACCAGCATATTGCCTGGCAAAGGGAGTAGCGGTGGGATGGTTCCAAATAGTTAACTAAGAGCACCACTTCAGCTTAAAGTAATTTGCCAAGCTGAAAGGCAGCTTTTCTGAAAGGATTTTTTCAGGTAGGATTAAATCACCCTTTAGAAGTGCTGTTCTCTCTCCAGAAGTTACAGAGGGAGTCCAAGCATCCGTCTTGGATGGGATAAGCAACTTCTGTAGACATCTAAACTTAGAGGACATGAACTATGCTCTTCCACTGCCAAGTAAGCAGTCTTAGTGGAGCTGCAGCATCCCAGTGTAAATATATGTTTTACTGGTATAGTTTATTTCCCTTACTAATTGGAAAAGGCCAAAATTTGGTATTGCTTTATATTGTTACAGCTGAGTTTATAATAGGGAGAGTTGTATCATGTCCCTAGTTTAGCATAGTAGGTGTGTGCTAACAGAAGCTACACAAAGGATGGAGTCCTTGGATTAGTCTGGAGATACACTTTGTTTTTTATATATCATAAGATTGCTTTTGCTGGTGTAACTTGAATCAGGCTTGCAACAGAGGAAAGGATATACTAGCAGAAGGATTTTTTGTTAATACCACCGAGTTTGCATTACAGATCTGGGTGGCATTTCTGTGTTAGAAGGAGTGCAGATTTTCTTTTCATGGCGCTAGTAGTTATGTGATAAAACAGGTTTGTAAACCAGGCCTCAGTGAAGTGTCTGTGTGGTAAGGAGAAGGGAGAGTGGGGCAAGCTGTCCCGGCAAACAGTGGTTCTGTACCTGATGGCAAAAATCTGTCACCCGCATTCTCCTCAGCAGAACTGTCCCTCTGGTATACAAACTCTGCCCCACACCACAGCCCCTTGGCATAAGGGATTAGTAAATCTGCATCTGAATGCTTCCAGTAAAGGCAGAGAAGGCTCTAGGATTATGTTCCTGCTGTGCAATTGCCCACTGGCCTTTCACTGTTGATTGCTAGCTTAGGTAAATTTTTGTCGTCTGCCATTAATTCCCCAGCATGCCACTGTAACGTGTACCTCTAGATCAATTTTCCCCCTAAAATCGGCCTTTCTTTTTCAGCACTTCAACAAGTTCCCAGTCTATAATATACATCCCACAGGACATTGTTAGAGCAAAGGAAATTATTGCACAAATCAACACCCTGAAAACGCAAGTCAGTTACTATGCAGAAAGGCTCTCAAGAGCTGCCAAGGATAGATCAGCTAATGGCCTTGAAAGAACACTTGCCATCCTAGCAGACAAGGTAGGAGAATAATACATTTCCACACTGAAGCACAGTTCATTTTTTTTCTCTGTCTCTATCTTTAGTAGGTTTTCTTGAAACATGTATTTTACCTTCTTCAGTAGTGTATTGTAACATGTACAGTTGTAAAGAAAAAGCAAAACCAGACCAGCCTTTAAAATTTGCTGCTTTTTATTTAAGTTGTCTCCTGCTTTTCACACTCTTGCCTTCAACTCCTCGCAAGAGTGCAGTGGAGAGCAATGTCCTCTGGTTCCCTCTATTCATTCATCATATTCCAGAAATCTGCATTCTTCACTTTCTTTTGTACCCTTTTCTCCATATCCACTTGCTTTTTTTAATGTTCCTCTGAGTCATCTGTCAAGCAGCAGCAACTGGGCAAAACTTAAGTAAATTTTTCCACTGGTGAAATAAGGAATAATGGTGACGCAGCCTTTGCTTGAATTATAGTGATGTGAATCAGTTATTTCTAGATGGGTGCTAACAGAAACCAGACTGGACGCACAGCTGAACACAATCTTATTTACAGGGACAAAAAAACAAATACAGTTTTACGGACCTCTTCTGTCCCTTAAGCAGATCTGAAGGTTGTAAATGGCAGTAATGGCCAATCAGCTTGCTATAAATTGTCCCAGTGGAGGAGACATGCATACAACTTTGTAGGGTGTAGAAAATAATGTGACCCCATGTAAATGTATTATTTATTATAATATTCAGTCTAAATGAGTACAGTGTGTATAACTGATCCGTGGGATTTTCGACAGCTGGACAACGTGTATATATAACGTAGTAAGGGCTTGTTTGTTGTTTTCTTTTTTTAATAGACACGCAGGCCAGACACTTTTCATATTCATATAACTTAAAGAAATCCTTTAATACAACACCACTAAATAAGACAGGGAACATTAGTTGCATTCATTAGTGGGTTATATCTTCAGCTGGCCTCTTGAGTCTTGTTATGATTTCAGACAGGATGGCAGAGGTTAAGCATGGTCTCTCTGGTGTGGCAACTATTGCGTGGGGTATAAAAATGCCTGCACGTTGTTCTAAGCTTTCATCAAATGGAGAGTGAAGTGCAAATAAAGGTGAAGTGCACATTTATTAGTGAAATTTTCAACAATTGCAAGGCTAATATAGTAGTACAGACTTTGAATATGTACCATTTGTGTTTTGTTATCCTATATTGCTTTTTAAGGCCATTCTGTAAAATTATTTTAAAGGCACCTTAGAGACTCCTAAACAGTGGTTAGTTTCTTTTACAGAATACTAGTTCTTTTTTTCTTTCTGCGAAAGAATGTAGTATAAAAATTGTGTACAGAATAATGAAAAGTTGTTAAAATGTGGGGGGTTCATTGCTTTTTAGACCCGGCAACTTGTCACAGTCTGTGACTGCAAGCTGTTGGCAAATTCAATACATGGACTGAATGCTGCAAGGCCAGACTATATAGCTTCAAAAGCATCTCCAACATCTGGAGAAGGGGAGCAAGTGATGCTGAGGAATGATCAGGATACACTTGTGGCCAGATGGACAGGAAGAAATAGCCGATCTTCTCTGCAGGTGGATTGGCATGAAGAGGAATGGGTATGTATGCTTAGTGGAGTGATGAATATTTTCTACTTTGTAGTTTTTGTTTGCTGTGTTCTTTTGCTTATAAGCTCTGTAACTGCTCACCAGATATGCGTAGGATGAGTATTTTGGAAGTATTGGTCAACTAGCAAAGATCTTGTCTCTATCCTATGCTCAGTTACTCCTTGGCATGGGGATACAAACAGGCCTTAATAAATATTTCTGGGTCTCCTAAACAGCGGAAATCATTACAGTAGGTGCGTGGCTTTTCTGAAGTCGGTTCCAAGGGAAAGTAAATAGCTTTTAAAGTAAAAAACTGACTGTACTACAAAGGGCTTTTACGTGTCTCCAAAATAAAGCATATTTTGCGTGTGTTAGCTATACAATTCAGCCTTCCTGTTTTTTATTCTCATCTAAATATTTAGAACTTGCAGTTCATCTCTGTTTTGATTATGAACAGCATTTTAAAACTGTTTGCATAAAGTATTTAAATGGTTTTCCTTACCACACTGTCAATTGAAAAGAGAATTGTGCTGTGTAAATTCTGTCATTGTGTAATATAAACAGAAGTTAATTAAATCTCAAAAATAGTTGAAATTAATTAAAACAATTATTAATATCGTAAAACATCAATTTTGAAATGAGATTGAATTAATTTTGGAAATGGACCCTTGCTAGTTTTAATTGTTTTGGTATACTTTGACTTATAGTCACACTCACAGTAACGAGATACAAATAAAGCCAATTCAGTTATTTAGACAGTAATACAATACAGTAATTTTATCTGTTATTCACTGAGTTATTTAGGAAAAAAAAATGTGTGATTGTATACAACTATTATTTCCAATATGAGTTTCAAGAATAAACGATAGTGCCAACTGGAATTTGGAATAATAGTGCAGGAAGAGGCACTTAAAGTTGTTCAGCAAATTTACTTAGAAAATAGCTTTAAAATTTACCACACGAGTCATGTCGCTACATATTGTTGAGATGCTGGTATGCATGATTTATATATCCAGAATTTGTGTGTCCACAAATGTAAACACGATAGCCCAGAGGAAACTTTGCAGAGGAATTGTGACTAGAATCACAGGAGGAAATATATTGCCAAGGGATTTGTTACCCAATGTCTCTTTTCTTTTTAAACTGAGAAAGAAATGTTTTCTTTTAAGGAGAAGGTTTGGTTGAATGTTGACAAAAGTCTGGAGTGTATTATACAAAGAGTGGACAAACTTCTCCAGAAGGAGCGCTTGCAAAGTGACAGCTGTGAAGATGTTTTCCAGTGTGACATCAGCTGTACTAGTAAGAAAGGTAATCGGGACACTCGTGCCTACTGGATAAATCCAGAAGATTTAAATGAGACCTCATCATCCTCGCCACCTTCATCATCCTCACCACCTTCATCATCCTCACCACCACCTTCATCCTCACCACCACCATCATCCACACCATCTTGTGCATGCCATTCTCTCAGAAAGACAAGTGCGTATGCCAGACACTGCTTCTCACTGCTGCTCTCTTCCTGTGCGCTGGCATCATTCCTAAGCCTCCGTTACATCCTTCCATGTGTTTTCAGTTCAGTGGTGGTGTTCAGCACTGATGTCAGGCAGAAAGGGCTGGTGGTGTACTGGGAGCTGCTAAGCCCGTTACTTATTTTGAAATCCTGATCCCACTGAAATCATGGCCAAATCCGTTGATGACAGTGGCATTTGGTTTTCACGCTGGGTGTTTTAAGCTGGTAAAACAGGTGTTTGGGTTAGCATATGTCAAACACCACCTCTGGTAGCTTTCCTTTTGGCTTCAGCTTCTTTGCAGCAATCAAAGCTTATTACAGTGAACCTCTATATAAGAAAAATAAAACATGAGAGAAGTGCAGGCACTACCGCAACACTAATGGGCTGCCAGAGCATAGGAGGGGAGCCAAGCAGTCCCATTAGGCTGAACTGAACTTGGATGAACTTACTGGAGTTTAAAGCAAATTTCAACCCAAATTGTCAAAAGCTGTGGTGCCGAGGCACTCAATTAGTTAGACTTCTTGTAGCTGGAAGGTAGGAATTGGCAGTGCGAGCTCTCAGTGGAATAATCCTATCAAAATTTTGAGGTAAAGCGGGTGCTGGATTGTATCCAGCATAACGCCATGAGCATGTGAATGAAAGATATCCTTATCAGTTTAGGCTGACAGTTTTGCAGCTGTGCATTAAATTTCAGAATTATTTCATTTACATATGTACCTATTTGATTTATTCTTACATTCTGTACATGTGGTCACTGTGATTTGGCCACTTAATAGAGCAGGTGTGCCAAGTTAAGCTCTAGAAAGATTGATTTATGTTTTCATTTCCTGTTCTGTCTTACCGTTTGATGGCCCTTTGTCCCTTACGTGTGTCTGTGACTTCATGTCCATCCCATTGTTAATGTTGCAGTGGAAGGCAATACCCTAAGAAAAAGAAAGCAAGAAGGAAATTAAAATAAATGTTAATATTTTTTTGTGTAGCTTTGTACATGTTACGTATGATTTGCTTAGTATCTTAAATGACCGTGTTTTTCTAGATTAGACTGACATTTTTGTGTGTTATAAAGGAATAGGAGAGTAGGTTCTTGTTTCAGAATGTGTTCTCCATTAGTCTTTCACTAAGTTTCTTCTACCAGTTTGATACCTTTAGATGTTTTTATTTGCTAGCTAGTTTACATGAAGTTTTATATGTACTTCCATGGAAGTTTTATCAGTAAACTTCAATGTACCTTCATATCAATGATTAAAAGTTGTGGATTTTTAATATTAAAAAAACAGGAAAAATCTGTGCTGGGTGATATCAGAAGCTTTTCCCATGACAATTTGATGCTGAAAGCATCTTAGAACAATCATTTTCTTTCATTTCAGTTGATCTTTTAAATCTACTCTGGATCTTGACACTTATGCCATATAAAAGTGGAATTAGCTGCACTTACCTGCCAAAGGGTTTGTTTGTGCCAAGAGTTTCTGTAACCTTTCCATACTGTTCCTCCAAAATAGGAGAAAAAAAAATCTTTCCATTTAATCCACAGAACCTGGGACAGAAACATTAAATCAAGAAGGGTCGCAAGCTTTAAAGCTAAGGGGCTTGCTGCCGTTTCTCAGTGCTACCTAAGCGTAAGGACTAGATCTGAAGTCTGACTGTCAACCGATGTTGGGTGAATTTAACTTAAAAAATCCTGGAGAGGGAATCCTGTTTCTTAGTTATCTGGTGCAAACATTGTTCATAGGTCTTAATGAGCAATTTGAATTGCACTTGGAAGTTTATTGTAAGCCAGGGCAAGCTGAGTACTTGATCACATTCTCATCAACTGTAGTTCCTAATTAATGGTCAGTATTTTTGACAGAGGAACAGGTTCAATACTACGAAAAAACCTGGTGTTACTGACATCAGTGGGAATTTTCCCACTGAGTTACTTTCCTTGACTCCACACCAAACCTGGCCTGTTAATTCCCTTTCACTGTCACTTTCCACAACTGCTCGTGGGAAGAATTGAGGGACAAAGAAGATCCTGTCTCTAAATTCAGAATCACAACATTTTAAAGTTTTTCCTTGTCATGTATTCAAAGGACTAACACCTTTTCTGCTAGTAATTCTGAGTTTTGAATAAATGACACTGAGCAGAGAGCGGCCGGAAATTTTTTTGAAAGCAATGTAAAAACCAGCAAAGCAAGGTAGTTCCAGAATTGGTAAGAGAGAGACAGTAGAATGTTACTGAAGGACTTTAGAGGATCTGTCTAGAAATGAATGTTTGTGAAAGAAAACACTGCCTGAAATAGTAGAAGGGAGACTTAAGAAATTATTTTAAAATTTATTTTTGTTACAGGCTTAGGTATTCATTACTAGAATTGCATGGGGGCGTATAGCTTCTTTAATGAACATGATGAGTTTTAATTTACTGAGAGGTTTTTATCTTGGATTGTCTAGCTTAGCCGATTGTCCTAATGCATGCAATTGAATTTGATATTTTCTGTTGTTATTTTCAAACTCGTAATTCATTAACTAGTGAATCTAGATACAGACAACAGAAGTATAGATCCTGTTAGCTTAATAAACTACTTCTCATTAATGCAAGACTTGCTGTAACAGGGTGTATATTATTTTTACTGTTTACATTGCACTGTAGTGTATTTTCATCTGACAGATTGTTCCTCCCACTGAAGTGAGTGTGGAACAGTCACAGGCTTCACTGGTGAGGTTTCAGCCCTTAATATACAATCTAATGCTTGTGTTAACTATCTCAGAAATTGTATAACAGAAATTTGTCTAAGACAGCAAAGTAGTGTTTCTTTATTACTCTTGCGTTGTGGGTGCCTTAATGTCATTTTCTGTTAAGTGCATTGAACTTACTGCTAGTCTTTTGCTATTCTGTTTAGCAGCCTTACTGCCAGCTTATTCTGTAATTGCACTGAACCAGTGGTTCTCAAATTGTGCCCTGTGGATCCCTGCGGATTGACAGTGCGCTTGCTGGTAATCCACAGAGAGCCCCTGAGCTAGCGGGTACTGGCTTTCCTCCAAGTCCCCATCCAGGCGTTCCTCTGATCAGAAACAGTGGAGTGATGGAGACAGCCCATGCCCTGGGTGCCCGCAGGCGAAGGAGTATCTCTGCTGAGCTCCTCTTCCCTCGGTGAAAGTGTTTGAGAACCCTGGCATTGAGCTTTTGAGTTGCTTATGTTTAGACTGTGTTGCTGCTCCTTAATCATGCATGTTGCCCCTCCATTTCTGTGCAGATTGCAGCCCCGCTCCGGAAGAATCTGGCCCAGGTATGTGCATTCATGGCTTCTGCTTCTTCCGAAAACTGCAGGGTTTGATTCATAATTAACAACTGAACAAGTGACTTGCTGTTAAGGTTGACCATTTTCAAACGGTAATGCTCTGCAATATCACATGACTTACCTAAGCATATTGAGAAGTTGTTATTTTCCTAAATAATACTGCAAGGGGGTATCTGGTAACTTCTCATGACCAGGTATGGGAGAGCACTTGTTCATGGTCTCTTTGGTTTCTCCAGTTGATGTGTTTTAGCAAACTGTTGTGGGTGAGAATGATTTGAGGCCTGTTCCAGATGTTATTGAAGTCTGTGGGAGTCCGACATTTCAGACATGCCCTTTCATATGTGCTGTTGAGCTGGCCTTTCTGAATGAGAACTTGAGCAGAAAAACATGGAGCAGCCAACAAGGCTGACGGAGAATCTGTGTTGCGGGTGCACACCAAGCAGTGTTGGGCACTGCAAGTCTAATGTTTCGGAATACAGAATTTAGGAGACTTTCATCCCGCTCTTAGCCTTCTTTCCTCTCTCCTTGTACTTCTGCACACTGGTGTTGCATTTACAAGGTCTGAATAATATGCCCCTGTAATACCACTCTCTCCCAGCTAGATGGCTGCAATTTCTCCCATTTGAGAGTAGTTTAATCTGAGTTCAGTGAAGGTTCAGTCTTTGAACTGTTACAGCATGGGCTCCTGAGTTTAGTGAAACCAATAGGAAATAAAGCCCCAGTGCAGGTATGGTTTTCATCTTCATGAAGTATATTAATGTTCTTCTCAGCTCTCCACCCTGTTCCCTTCTAACACTAAGAAAGTGGTTTTAATCAATAAAAGCCTCCATGTGTTTTTAATTCTTGGAACATCCATTTAATTTTTGCAAAAATATGAATGTGGTACATAAATGGATGCTATTTTTTTATTTTTAAGATGGGAGTAATTAAAAGCAGTCAGGTTACCCCAACTGGGTACCCAGATATACCCAAAACTGCATCTTAAACTCAAGTGGCTGAAGCTGCAGTGTAGTGAAGCACTTAATGCTTGCTTCCCTCTGAAGCCAAATGTGATGTGACTGTGTGCTTGAGTGGGTTGCCGATTATTCTTTCCTGGATCAGGGCTAAGCAACTACCACTTATTTAATGATTCCCTTTTATAGAAATCATGAGTCCTTGCAACCCTGACCTAAACCAAAGGCAACTGCGGGTGCCCAGTACTTTGATTTATGGATGCTAGGCATTTTTTAATGTGAAAAGACTAAAAATATCTTTTCAAGGGTCTGGAGGACAGTTATTTTAATAATATTTTTATTGCTCTGGAGAAGAGAGACTCTTGGGGGGGGGGGGGGGAAGCAAAAACTTTTCCCACCTGTCATTACATCCTTGATTTATACAGGCTTTATGTATTAGGTTCTCTTAACAAGACATCAGTTTTTTATAAAATAGTCAGTAGCGTATAGTGAGAGAAGGTCCACTATGTGAACTCACAGGCATTCCCAGCATATCCTTCCCCCCCACCGCCAATGCCACATTTCAAAGTGTACATTAAGGTATGACTTTGGTCAGCAGCAGTCGTAAGAAAAATAGCAAAGACTTACGGGGCCAAGTCTGGCCCTTATTTACCAGCCAGAACTCAGCTGTAGCTGTCTTGAGTGGGGACTGCAGGATTTGTCTCTTGCTGTACAATATAAAGTGCTTAAAGCAAATGACAAGCATCCTGCCAGTTTGTACAATGCCAGTTTTTAGATGGCATAACTTTTACCATGAACTAGAAACCTCTGATTAAAAAGCAGGATTTGTGTCCCAGACATACCAACAGCTAGCTTGGACTAGGTCTCCGGCTGTTGTAAATGTGTAACAACTTGTTGTATCTCCATTGTTTCAGGCCCTACGCCAAATCATCCTACCTATGGGTCTGCCCAGTGGAGTCTATAACAGTTTTTAAAAGTTCTGGTCATCTCATAGAATGTAAGAGCAGAGCTCAGAGTAGATTTCACTTTAGAATTAGTGCCTCATGGTGTTCGAAGGTGCCATTGATTGATTTGATAGAAAATATCCTTTCATTAATAAAGTTCTGTTAGGAAATTAATGAGGGGAAGACAGGAGGACAGGAAAATCCAGGCAGAACTTGAACACTTAGAGTCCTTTCACATTTACTGAAACACTGCCAGTGAAATGTTACAACCTGATTTGAGCCTGGGAGTGCAATTCCTTTTATTCCTGTTCATTGTTAATAGCAAGTACCGTTGACTAAAAAATTAAAAGAACACAGGTGACACCTCTGTGAAGTAGGTAGCAAAAAGCATTTAGAATTTTTGCAGACTGACAAGGGTTTTTTTTTCATGGACAAAATTTTAAACCAAGAGAATACACAGCACAGAGGATTTTTGCTCATTACCCTGGAGGAGCCACTGCATTGCATGTGAGTGCTGGGAGAAAAAAAGAACCCATCTAACAATAGCTTTATCTTCAGGCAGGCTGGTATACCACCAGTATACTTTGTGATTATCCCAGATAAACATATCTTTCAAATGAAGTGCTGCCAGACACACTACAATTTTAAATCTCCGCTGAGTTAATAACTATATACATGTATGTATATACAGGCAATAAGATGATGATGATGCGCTGGAAGATCTTTTCAGTTCTTTTTGTCATCCTCACTTGTTTATAGAAAAGCTCTTAAATGCAGCAAGAGACACACTGTTAGTATCATCTGTGTTTTGCTTTTTAAGTGCTCATGGGGCCATGTTATGGCATCTGATTTATTTTGAGAGAAAATACTTAATAGAATATAAAAGACAAGCTGTAACTCCTTGCCTGTGCTTTTGATGTTTCCTGGGGTTTTTTTACGGCAATGGAACAGTGCCAAACAACTTCCCCTTTTTGTAGTTTATTAGGTTATCTATCTACCGCATAGAACAAAAGCAAAAAGGATAGTTCTGTTAATCTTGTCAGTTATGTTTCTGTTGGCAGATTTCCAAAGTTCCCCTCTTTGGCTGGTTATCAAAGAAACGTTTATTATTACTAGCTCTTAATCCTGGCCTTTGAGTCAAAATCCCAAACAACTTCCTTTCAGGGGCTTGAAGTGCCCCATTCATGCAGGTTCTGATCTGTACGTTGCCTTGTTCCTGCAGCCAACTGGGCTGGGGGCTGTGTGTGTTCTGTTTGTGAGGTCCAATGCTTTTTAAAAATAAAACACATTGTCCTTCCCTTTAAAAAGAGAATTGTTCTTCTGTTTTGACCTTACATTAAGAAGGGCAAAACCAAAGTGCTGTTGTATTTTCTTTTTATATTGCAGATAGAATGGATTTTGGTATAGCATCTGAATAATTTGTCTTACAGTCATGGAAATGTTTTTCTAAATTGGTGGTTGATTAAGACAAAAGATTAAAGAAGGAAAGAAAAGAAACTGAGCTTGTGGGGCATTTTAAGACAGAGCAATCTCCAGGAGAAGGAAGGTGCAATGTTTGGGGTACTAAAATAGGACTTTGGCAACCCAGTTTCATTTCTGTGCTTCCTGTGTAGGACCTTGAATAGAGTTCCTCTGGGACATATCTCGGGTATTTCAGTGGAAGTCAAGCTCTGAACTACTTCCAAGGATCTGGCTAACTCCCATCTAAATCACTATATGTAGTGTTCCTTGCTAGCTAGCTCTAAGCCTTCAAAGCCACTCAGCAGAGGACACTTAAAAGAGTACCTATATGAATTTTTCACCTCTCTGCCTTGTTATTCTGATGCTCCAAATGGGAGATAAGCATCATCTTACCTCACGGAGGTGCAACAAGGATCAGTAAGACGGTGAGGCAGTTGAATGATACACCTATGAGTCCACAAAAGGTTCAAAGCCAAGATATTTGGGAGAAATCTCATTGACAGAAATGGCTAAGCAGATGTTCACTATTTCTGTTATACGATGGACTCCACACTGTCTGTCCATGTATGCACTGTGAAAGGGTGTATTTGAACATGCACACGCAGTGATATACACTTGTGTATATAGATATTCATCCTTCTGTTACACTTTCCAAATCAGCTATTGTATAGCCTGTTCTGTGGGCACAAATCTGGGAGCTACTAAATGGTCAGGAAAGTCATCATAGCCTTACAGAGTAAAATTCTCCATATTTTCCTCATGCGATAACCACTCTGTAAGATTACTTAATTAATAACAAGGCGGGAGTAACCAGCCAGCCAAAATAAAACAAGCCCTAGATGTGAATTATCAACAACTTTGACTTGCAACAGGAAGTTCCTTCTTAATGCATGTTTGTTTGTTTCAAATAAAGTACTTAGAGTTCTGCTAATTTTTTTCTTTTAACCAGGTGAATGGAGCGAAGCTCTTTATCCATTGCTGACAACGCTCACAGACTGCGTAGCCATGATGAGTGACAAGGCAAAGAAAGCCATGGTCTTTTTATTAATGCAGGACAGCGCCCCGACAATAGGGCTCTGCCTGAACCTTCAGTATCGCAGGGATGTTGTCTTCTGTCAAACTGTAAGCAAGCAGATATGCATGATTTGATTGCACTCTGACATGTGGTGGGGTTTATATGAAGTATGAAAGGTGACCGTTTTCAGAATTTTTGAGATCTGTTCTACTCTTGGGTTTAACACTGTGATGTCCTCGCACAGGCTGTGCTATCCTGTCCTTACTGGTCACTTACATGCATTTGACAATATATAACTTAAGTGTCCCCTTGGATATACGTTCACTATTTGAAAAAAAAAAATCCACAACTAGTGAAAATATACTGCTGTCTACGGAAACAACCTTTGCCTTCCGATGCCACCAAACTGAAACCGGAAGTAAGAAGTGAAAGAGGGGGAAAAAAAAGCCCATGAGCACAAGTGTACTCCCTTGGTTACCTTTTGTTGTTTTCTGCATCAAGAAAACCCAACGGGACCTGCAGTACCTAAGGGGAGAAGTCCAGCTACAGGGAGAGAAATGAGTGCTGGTTTTGGGGTTTTTTCCCTAGAAGTTCTGTTTCTGAGCCTGCTGGGGTCTCTTGTGTCAGCCACTGACTAGCAGGTGTCTGCACTAAAAATCCTTGCACATTTCTTCTGCCCACTATACTTCTGTAGTGTGTCTACTTCCCCATGAAATCAGTATTTCGTTCATTTATTTCAAGCAGCTTACCTCTTGGACGTTGTTTGTAGGGCTGTTGTCCCACAATGTAATATCTCATAGAGATAAATCAAGGGAATTTTTCTATACAAAACGCACTTCATATTGCAGATAATTTTTAAACTCAATGCTCTGAATATGTTTACCTGTCATAAACAGAACTTTATACCCTTTTGTTTAATTCTGTAACAAAGTGTGTACATAGCATATGGCAATCACTTGGGAAATTCCTTTGTTGACAGAGTGAATTAAGACTAGTACTAATCTTAGATCTTAGTACTGATCTTAGTACTAGGTCTTCAGGACCTTGTCCTGAATATCTTCTAACACTAGAGTTTGAATCTTTGCATAATGCAAACAGGTATTGCATTTTTAAGCTTTCTTAAAATGTCATTTAAAAAAAATCATTTATTCATACTATCAAAATTCATGACTAGCTGTATTGTTTTTCCATCTGTAACAAAAACAATTCTCCAAGGAGACTCTTTTGTAATTCCTAAGTTGTAGACCCTAATACAAGTGATTGTGTCCAGAAAACAAATAGATGTGAGAGCAACAGCAGTCCCATTTTGGGAGAGCTTGCGAGATGTGCCCTAAACCTGATTTTGTGAATGTTTTGGTTTTTTGTTGGTTCGTTGTCTCTCTTCAGCTGCAAGGAAAAGAAGAGTGACATTTAAGGGAAAGGAACATCAGTCTGACAGATTTTATGCACGTTTTATATGTGATATTGTTTCCGTTCGGGGCTGAAAAGCCTTTTTTGTCTTGAATCATTTCACTCTCGTCTGTTTTCTCTCCCACAGCTGACAGCTCTCATTTGTGGTTTCATTATCAAGCTGAGGAACTGCCTGCATGATGATGGATTCCTAAGGCAACTCTACACCATTGGCTTGCTGGCACAGTTTGAGAGCCTGCTGAGCACTTACGGTAAAGGCATAGGGCAAGTGGGTGGTATTAGCTGTTGAGTCAGAAAATTCTGATTTAAATTGGTTGCAGCAGAAGATGAGTGTTTGGGACAATCTGCAGCTCTGCTACAAAATGATTTTGAAAACTGAAATGCAAAACCAGATTATATCTGGAGTGCTTAGTTAGCTAACAACTCTGAATTTCTTTGTATTTAGTTGAATTACTTGGAAAGGATAAAGCCTTATAATATAATGTCAAAGGTTTTTTAAAAAAAATATATCATATTGATCATTTTTTCAGAAAAGAAACAGATTAAAATTCTGGTAAGCTGGGAGAAACTGTGCCCAAAATATGCTTTTCTAATTTTCTTGACCTCCTGTAATCCTACAGTACAAAATGAGCAAATCCTGAATACATTGTAACTTTTCCAGCACAAAGGGTATCATGGCTGTGACAATGCTGAGAAGTTCTTACTAGCATCATCTAAATTGGAAAATCAGCATACAATCTACTTGAAGAACGGTAGTCTGGACTGTGCTAGATAATCGGTGTTTTCTAAACTTGCTGAACTCATAAAGTCAATCATGACATTGTCTGCAGTCTGTAGGTCAAGGTGAAGGCCTGGGCTCCAGAGCTTCTTTGTCCATAGAACTTCTTTATGAGAGCGATGACCTGCAGTCTTCATCAAAGTGATAAAGGGAAGTTGTACATAACAAGTAATTATTATGATTCACTTTTTCCTCTTTGATTTAGGTGAGGAGCTGGCAATGCTGGAGGACATGAGTTTGGGAATCATGGACTTGAGGAATGTAACCTTTAAAGTAACTCAGGCCACATCAAATACATCTACTGACATGCTGCCGGTTATCACTGGAAATCGGTAAAAAAAATGGGGGTGGCAGGAAGCGGGGTGGGACTGCAGATGGGAGAAGCAGTGATACTGCACTTGAATTATGTCATTTTTGTACTGTGCTGTTTTTCTCTTCAGAACTTAAAAGCAATGTTTTGAAGTGGACTTGCTCATTTTTACTGTTGTTGCATTTTACAGGGAGCTAAGCTGAAAAGGGATATATGGCAAGGCTCAAACCATGGCAGTATTGTTTTCTGGATAAATATCATCTTGACCTAGCCTTCCACAGTCATAAGCCAGAAGTATTCAATCTTTTCTTAAGCACTTGTGATGATTTTAAATTTCAGGCTGACTTTTGAGGCAGATCTCATTATCTGAAATTCACTGCTCTTGCTCAGCTGGTCAGTGCTTTACTGTATGCCACTGAGTAATGGGCCACCGTTAGCACAATGGGACACGGAACGTGTATTGGGCAGTTGATGGGCTGCTGCTGAGGTGAGGCCTATTTAGGATCAATTTCCAAACTATCAGGGCCAAGCTGGCTTTAACTTACATATGCTTGTGAAACACCAGACTGCTGCTCATTTTGGCCGCTTGTCTGAGAAGAGAGATTTTCAAGTTTGAGCTTAAAAGCGATTTTTATTTTAAAAGTCTGAAGTGACAAACATTCACATCCTCACGTAAAGTGGAGTGGGACTGACCTGTTACAGCTTTATTACAATTGAAGCATTGACAACAGAGTCATGCTTCAATCTGAATGCCTCAGCCTGCTTATCAGCTGGCCTTGCACTGGTTTCTGACATGGGGCTGATGGGCCCCTGCAATAGAGTTCTTGCCCATAGGGAGCCAGTTCAGAGGTAGGGATGAAGCTGTGGAAGGACAGAGGCCTCACAAAAGTCAGTGTTTTAATGATTCTGTATTTCAGAGTCTTTAGAATCTTTTTGTTTCGAATCTGATTTCTGGAGGAAATAAGGATTATTCGATTACAGTGTGCTGTACCAAGCTCCACTGGGGCTTTGCCCAGCTTCCTCCATGTCTGAAAAAGAGCTAGAATTCTCAAAGATAAAAACATTTAGAGGAACTTTGTTAAGTTAAGGTTCACATGCAATGAAAAGTGCCCTGGCTGAAGAAGGTCTGCAGTACAATCATGTATGTTATGGAAGTTGCTGAGACCTCTGGAAATGGCTGACAGCTGACAGAAAATTCCTTTCAAAGAAAATCTTCAGTTGAAACTTGCCATCAGCTACAGGACACTAATCTGGAGGAAACCAGTCTTCATTAGTTTCAGATCTGATAGTGTTGCTTATTATTTTGCTGTCTAGATTTTACTCAAGAAAGAGAAGACAGAAATTATGCCTATTTGTTTTGGTGCAAATTATTGGAAGCTTTACATTTAGAGGTGAAAAGAGGTTTTTTGCTTTCAGACATAGCATAGGATTTGTGTGTCCATCCAGTGTAAATGTGGGACAGACCAATTTTGATTACATTATTATACACTTCTCAGAGCTCTTTTGCTAGACTTAGAGAGTATATGCTGTACCTGAGAGTTCTGCGCTGTAACGACTTGGATGTAACACCAAGGTATTGCTGCTGATAGGTTAACACACAGCACACAAAGGGCAGTAACTTCTGTCTTGGCAGTTCCAACATCGGGTAATATGACATACCTTACTTAGTCTGCACTGATGTTATCAGATAAGATAAGTAGTGTTACCTCACATTTGCCACGAGATAAAGCAGACACAGTGCTCTTTGCTGTAGCTCAGCTGACCCAAGGTAACCTGTTGTGCTGCAGGAACAGCTTGTAGGTCTGAGTCATAAGATCTGTATCAGTGCTTTTGTTAGCTCCCCCTTCAATTTATGCTTGAGTCGCTACTATCATTGCCGCTATCCTGCTCAGAAATGTCAGTACTACTTACTGTATCCAAAAATTTATCCTTTTATGCATGTGCATCATCACTAGTCTTTATCACTTTAAAATCAAATATACTTTACTCTTGATGAGATGAGGACATGCCAAAATTTGGCTTTTTCTACCCAAGTTGTACAAGAGCTGCAGTATTCATGAGCAGAGTAAAATCAGCTTTTGTCAGGAAATTGGTAGATCTGATTGAAACATCCATGATGATGTAAAATCAACATTACAGGTTGCTGCAAGTTTGTTCTTGAACTAGAATAGCTTTTCTGATTAGGAGCAAGCTGTGGCAGTTCCTTAAAGTCCTCTGTTTTGACTGATACTTACGTTTTAACAGTTGTATTATGTTATAGATGTTATCCCTTTTTACATAAATAACACATTCTCAGAATGTAGCTTTTTGATGTTTATGTCTAATAGCTGTTTGTTTATTTTCAGCGATGGATTTAATGTGAGGATCCCTTTGCCAAGCGCCTTGTTTGATTTGTTGCCACGAGAGATTCAAAGTGGCATGTTACTGAGGGTTCAGCCTGTTCTTTTCAATGTGGGAATCAATGAGCAGCAAACCCTAGCAGAGAAGTATGTATTCAGTCATGCAAGCTCAATCTTAATGGCAGTTCAGCAATCTCCTGTTCTCTATGGTTTTGCACTGTTGCATTACTAACAGCGATTCAGTTTCTCCAATGCACGAAAAAGAGAATATTAAATGAAGCTGTCAAATGCAAAACAAACAGAAGGAGGTCCTTCTTCATATGGCACATAGTTGTGGAGCTCCTTACCTCATGGCTTTGAGTCTAGTGCAGGTTTATGTGGTTCAGAAGTGAACTTAGAGGAGATCTGTCATGCGCTGTTTAACACAGAGGTGCTGCTTGTGACTTGAGACCTCTGTGAGTGACAGATCACTAAAGGCTGAGACACCATTCTGAGTATTGCTGTGTATTTGCCCTCTTGGTTTTGCACTCTCCCCTAGATTTCTGCTTCTGGCCACTATCAAAAACCAGGATAATGGGCCAGACGGACCTTTGTTTTGATATATTGTTTCAGTACTTAGGTAATGCAACACTGTTCTTGTAAAGCTGAAAAATATGATTATGTATTATATTTGCTAGCGAAACTGTTCAGTTTTGGAAGAGCCACCAGGCTTCTTTACAGGCCATATGCTGTAAAGAATACACTGGCAGAGCACTGCTCTAATGGAGAATGCTAGTGAAGTCAGGCACATGTGTGTTGTGACAGCAGCCTTGGTACCCGGGTGGAGTGTGCAGTATGATGGTGGACAACTAGAAAAAGTCTAACAAAGGCATTCCAGCAGTGACTGTTGTCCTCTGTTGCCTGTAAAGGGAGCCCAAGGTGACTGGCATAGTTACAGATGTCAGCACTGTGTGTGCATATATATGTATGTAGATGTAGTTACATGAGATGAATCATGACATTGTTGACAATATTACATTCATGGTTTATTACTCCTAGATCCATACTTCTCATTTACATGTCTGAAGGCAAAGTTCTCAATCCTATCTACTGATGTTGTGGTTATTATTAGCTTATGAACTAAACTAGTAAGTCCATTATTAAAATCTGAATTTTGGCAAAATGATTTACCAGATGGGCATTAATGTTGAAAGAGAGACACAAAGGCCAAAGAATTTTAAGTACTGTTTTCTACAAGATTTTTCTTTCACCTTCCTTCCCACTTTTCCCCTCACACTCATATATTTCCTTTTTCTGTAATGAATCACTACAACACTTCTCTGTTACACTTTACTCTGCATTTGAATTGTTAGGAATTTCATAGGATGAATCTTTAAACTGTTTTTTGATAGTCATATTGCCAAATGCAGTTGTTTCAAAGAAGAGGAGAAACCTTTTACCTTGGGCTTAACTGTTCATTTCTTCACCTTTTAAAGGTTTGGAGACACCTCACTGCAAGAAGTAATAAACATGGAAAGCTTAGTGCGGTTGAATTCCTATTTTGAGCAGTTCAAGGAAGTTTTGCCTGATGATTGTAAGTATTTGGTAATTAGTGGCAAATTTGGTTGAACAGCACAATTCAGGCTGATTTTTTTAATTTGTTTGCTTCATGTTTGTTGTTTAAATGTTGATAATACGCCAGCATTAGTAACCTCTAAGAAATGATGCAACTCTATTTTAATACATTAGTACTAAGTAGAGCAGATTCAAGAGGTTTAAAGGTCAGTCTGATTAACTTTCCTTTTTTTAATTTACTTTGCCACTCCTTCTAAGTGGCATTATGTACTGTATAAACATGCAGCTAGGCAGTTAGATTGGCATGAGGGGAAGGCATGAAAGTGAGAGGTCATAGCAGTAGCACTTTTATGTGCCGGTTTTGGTCATTTTCTCTGTACTTATGATAACTCGCACAGAGAGCAACTGCCAGTTTTTAGAAACTTAATCACTTTCCCTCTGCTTATCCTTTGGCACTTTCCTATAACTGTCGCATCTGCAGTCAGCAACAGAGAAGTCTAGCACCTGGAAGAAAGACAATAGCTACAAGCTTGAATTTTACTGGAATATAGGAAAATTTCTTACTTGTAACTAGTTTTTTTGGAAAGCAGTGGCATAGGTGTTATTTACGTGTGATGACAAAAATGGTGAAAATTCATTGATTCGTTATTACCTAGAATCATGGAATCATAGGGTCGTTTAGGTTGGAAAAGACCTTTAAGATCATCCAGTCCAACCATTAACCTAACATTATCAAGTCCACCACTAAACCAGTTAAGGGTAGAGTAGCAACCCCACGCCTCCTGGCTTGGTGGCTGGATCATTTATAATGAAAGTAAAAACTAGGAATCATTAAGATTGGAAAGGACTTCTAAGATCATCAGTCCAACCATCAACGCAAAACCCCCATGACCACTAAACCATGTCACAAAGTGCCACGTCTACCCGTTTTTTGAACTCTTCCAGGGATAACCCTGAACACCTCTTGTAAGCTAATTTCATGGGTCCCACAGTTGCAGTTTTATTGCAGAAATACAAATGCAGCAACGTGCAACAGGACAGTAAGAATTCTGTCTGTTATATGTTATTGTACTTTCAGTTACCCTGGATTTGTTTTGATGCAGCTGAGAGCAGAAGCTGTTGCCCTCCTTCCAGGCATTCATAATCGGCCATAATTAATTCTCTGAAAGTCTAGCTGCAAAAATTTATTTTTTTTATTATATAGTAGTTTAGCATGAGACTTTCTTGTAAAGTTCAAACGTTAATCAATGTAAAGTGATTTTTGTTCTGCTTTTCTCCCTGTTACTTCATGTCTCTGTCCACAGTCTTCCATAATGATAGTTCCCATTCATCTCCTTGCTCTCTTCTTAGATTTTGCTCACTTTTTACTTGTTTCTTTCCTTGTCCCCAAACCTTTTATGTTGATCCAATCGTCTTTTATCTTGTGCCTTTTTTCCTGAAACTTTTTTTTTATCCTGCAATGTGTTTTCTGCCCTGACATTTGTTCCTTCTCTTTTCATGTTTTTTGAACTCTGTTTTAACTTTATACTTACTCTCCTCTATTTTTAAAGAGCATTGGTGCCATGACCTTGAGTTTCTCATTCACCAGTAACACACACTCCTTATGCCAGAGGTTTTTCCTTGAGTAACTTGAAGTTGTGAATAAAGTTGGCATGCAGCGTTGGACAGGTGGCATTAACATGCATCTTAACAGTGAAAGAAAACAAAATAGTCTTGTGTCCACCTGCCTTTTTCCCTTACTCTGGTTACTTCTTGTTACGTTGATCCCTGCCACATGAAATGAATACCACAAAGGGGGAAAATCTGCCCTCTGCCAAAACTTTCTTCTGCTTCACTGTTTGTCCTGGGTAAATGCAGATATATTGTACCTGGTTTTGCAATCCAGCTTGGGAAAATGGTTTGTGGTTATAAACATCAAGCAAAAGTTTTGATTAGAAGTGTGAAAAAAATATTGCAGGTGTCCCAGCAGATGTGCTAGAGATGCTCCGTGAAAAGCTTGAGACTAACCTGGGACTGTGTTTGCCATAAGGAAGGTCTGAGGGTGTGTTTTGTACCTGCTCTGTGGTGATATAAAGTGAAACATACTTTTCCATGAACCCTTCTCAAGAGAGAATAACATTTTACATTTAACTGTAAAACAGGTGGTTATTATGACCAGCCAGTGATGTAGTCTGTGATAAGTATAGGCAAAAGGAAAACCAAAAAGATCGTTCTAGGGGACAAGAAGCCCAGTGAAGTATCTGCTGGCAGCTTGTAGGAAATGTTCTCTTCAAGAACAATACACAAGGGAAGTTGATTACTGATCCAGTGTCCTTGTCCCTGTGCTCTTAATTCTAAGCACTGCAGAATTTCTAAGACGTGAATTACTGTCTTAGCTTCATTAGCTCCTTGTCCTTGTTCCATTTAGCTCTCCTTGTCTTTAGAAATACCTGGAGAGATGGTTTGTGCCTTCTTTTTGCTTACAGGTATTAACTTGCTTTCTAGGTGTGGAGTTCAAGCAGAGCAGACAAGGATAGACACAATATTGCTAACATACTGTTTGCTGTGAGAAGAGATGTGGTCCAAAAATAAAACCTCATATATCACCCATGTGGGGTTCTTCTTTTTGTCACATAGTCATTGTTTAACAGTGCATACCACCTTGTTTATCCATTCACAGCCTTAGTTGGTGTCCTCTGTAGTTAACCCTTAAAAAAAAAAGAAAAAGACAACCTATTTAATACTTGTTGATGATTGTCTGAGTATGTTGCCACGTGTGTAAGAGATGATGTGTAACACTTTGAACATGTAAGACAACTATTGAAAGCACTCTGAAATATTGAAAAATTTCAACCGATTTATTTCCACTTAGTGAAATATTAATAAACAGATCATAGGAGTGCATTGTCCTATCAGAAACAGTGTTTCTTGAAAACTGGCCAGCTCACAAACATAAAATTGAAATGTGAGCAGAATATAAAATGAAATCTTCGGGGTTGCTGTGGAGACATGCATGATACCCTGTCACCTCTAAGGGGCGATAATACAGGCAGTTACATGTTTATATACAGTTCTGAATAGTGTGTGAAAGCAAGTACACTGTGACACACAAACCAAGGTACCATACCCACAAACCAAGGTACTATACCAATCTTGATCCATTTGTTCACTCTGTTATTATATTGCTATCAGATTCTGAGACACTGAAGTTTTAAATAACCTGAATGTATATTTCCAGGTGAGTTTAATTAAACTTGGATTTGTTTTGTTGGTGGTACTAAGTAATTAAGAATTGGATTAATTGCTGTAAGCTTTGATAGTTTCAAGAAAACATGATTGTGTTTGCAACAGGCATATAGGAATGTTTTCCATGTAACTTATCTTTGTAAAAGTGTTGAATACAGATAAATAAGTGGAGTTGGTTTTGTTTATTTTGTAGGTCTACCTCGATCTCGTAGTCAGACGTGCCTGCCTGAACTGTTAAGATTTCTGGGACAAAATGTACATGCAAGGAAAAATAAGAATGTTGATATCCTTTGGCAAGCTGCTGAGGTATTTATTAATCTAAGCATAGTATAGTTCAGTTGATTTTCTGTATGCATGTGTGTTTTCCCCTTTTTTATTACCGCTATGTTTGAATTTCTTCATTTGCTTGCATGTAGCTTGGAAATGCTGCCAGGTTAAACCTCCTCTAAAATGAGACACGGGGAGATAAAATGTATTTTCCACATCAGTATTTTCCCTAC